AATCTTCCTGGATGGAAGAGAAACGTCTTCAAACTTGGAAACAAAGTCCAGAGGATTGTTTTTTTTTAGTTTTTTTGAAAGTGAAAACAAAAAGATAAAGCTCAAATAGTGACAGGTGTCTACATTTAAAACTGAATAACAGGTGAAGAGTTTTATATAATTCTGTGTTTCTCATCTAAAGTATCAAGATGGTTCCTCTGCCTGGTAGCTCAGAGAGAAGAGATGCTGGTTTAGAGTTTAATAGATCCTGAGTTTAACTCTGAAATCCCAGAGAAGTTAACAATAGAAAAAAGAAAAATAGAATCCCTATAAAGCTTAAGTCCTTTTATTGGCTTTCAGAGTGAAAATAGAATCAAAAAGATAAATCCGCTACGAGAAGGGGTTAAAGTGTGACAGGGCCTGTGGTGTGATTGTTAAAGCATCGGCTCTGAAACTAGAAGCTCATGATTTCAAATCCCTCAGAAGTTGATCTTCTGTTTTTCCAACATCAAAATAATAAAGACAAATCTGCCTGGAGAAAAGTCCAAAGTGTGACACGTGTCTACATTTAAAAACGGGTAACGTGTTAAGATTTCTGGGTTTCTAATCTAAGGTAGATGAGAGCTTTTAAAGAGAAAGATTCTTCATCTGCCTCGTAGCTCAGATGGAATAGATGCTGGTTTAGAGTTCAATGGATCCTGAGTTCAACTCCTGGTTCATCTCTGTAGTCTCATAGATTATAACACCTAGAATCACTATACATGTTACATCTAGATTTATTGGTTTTCAAAGTGAGAAATAAAACCAAAAAGATAAATGCGCCCGGAGAAAAGTCCAAATGTCCACAAGTGTGGCATGGATGTTAAATCCTTGACTTTAAAACTAGAAGCTCATGAGTTCAAATACCGCAGAAGTTGATCTTCTGCTTTTCTAACGACTGTAGAAGAAGAAACAAAAAGATAAATGCGCCCGGAGAAAAGTCCAAATTGCCAAAAGTGTGGCATGGATGTTAAAACCTTGACTTTAAAACTAGAAGCTCATGGGTTCAAATCCCACTATTATCTTTTTCCAACAACTGTAGAAGAAAGAAAAAGATAAATGCGCCCGGAGAAAAGTCCAAAGTGTGACAGGTGTCATAGCAGAGTGGGATTGTCTGCGACCGTAAGGCGCCAGTGGTGCAGAGTCTGAGTTCAATTCCATCTGTGGTTGACGTAGCCTGGAATTCCCACTGCGGTGGGTCAGGGAGGGGGCCTTGTCCCCCCCCTTACTTCCACAGCAACAACTGGAGGAG